CTCCCGGACGCCATCCACTCCGTCCATTCCATAACTGACTCCCTCCAACTGGTCAAGCAGAAAATGGATCCTATCGTCAATATTTGGAGTCGGCTTACGCCGCCCGTGACCTCAGTCACAGAGTGCACAACAGCATACAGTGTCCTAAATACCAGGGTTTCGGAGTTGGAATCGTCCGGGGTCGTGGTTTGCATGACAATTCGGTACCCAGCCCTAGTGATTACGAGCGAGCGAGCGCAGCGAGCGAAGCGAAGTCTTTTCAATATAACGGAAAAATATCAGTATGAGCGGCCCGGCCCGGCCCGGCCTGTAACGCTTTTGAGAGGCTTATATCTCAGCAACCGCTGGACCGATTGGCATGGGGTCTTTTTTGCTGGGTAGCCCCATCCCTTCTACCCCGTAATTGACCACTTTTGATACATCTCAGTGACCGTCGTGGCACGTGCCACGTGAAAAGTCAAGGGTGTTCAAGCTGTTTTGCAAAAGTAGTAATTTTGAGAGGCTCATATCTCAGCAGCCACTTGGGCGATTGTCTTGCGGTAATTTTTGTAGGGTAGCTGCATCCTTTCTACCAAAGGTCGAATACTCTTAACCTATGTGAGTGACCTCCACTGCACGTGCAAAATGCAAAAAGAAGAGGTGCCAAATTTGTTCCCATTTCAATAACTCTGTAATTACTGGGGCGATTTCGCTGAAACTTGACATACAGGTAGGCACCCACCAGGCAATGCATTCCCATGTGTTGCGGTTAGGGTGCTACTGCACGTGCGCACGTGCAGGGCCCAGGGGGCGCTCCCAGATCTCGAGAACGGCTGGGCCGATTGCGCTCAAATTTGGTACACGGTTGGGGACCGGTTAGAAGGGTGCCGTGCAAAAGTCAGTTTGGAGTTTGGACCCCGTTTGCACGTGCGCACGTGCAGAATGCCGCTTCCAGATCTCAAGAACGGCTGGGCCGATTGCGTTCAAATTTGGCACACCGCTAGCGACCGGTTAGAAGGGTGCTTTGCACTAGCCCGTTGGAAGTACCCTCACGCCCTTCCGCACTTGCAGGGCTCACTATCTCGCTCGCTCGTTCTTCGCCCAAAAGGCGTTTTACTGGTACTATGATTTGCTTGCCCAGGAGCCGAGCAACTTTTCTCCTTCGATCTGCGGTCTCGGGATGTGACGAGTTACCGTCGGGGCGACTCTTGCTTCGAACGAATGAGTGAAAGATGACTTGGGAGTTGTTGAGCAGTAGCAAGTATCCGACTAACTTCAGGTTGCTTGATAAACACTCGCCTTTACATTCTGACAACTTAGAGCGGCACCCGATTTAGAGTCGTTGGGCTGGAGCTGACGGACGCCGGAGAGTGGGATAGAGGAAGAGAGGAAGGGTGGGAGATAGATAACGGAGAGGGCGGGGAGCGCGGGGGAGGCACGAAGGGAGCGCGGGGAGCGACGCGGGAGGGGGGGGGGGGCAGTCGGCGACGCGCCGGCCTAGGACGGACCGTCGGTCACGGTTTCAGCGTTTGTTTTTTGTTCTTGCTCTTTTTTTCGTCGTGACCCCACTGCGGCGGGTGGTTCCAGGAGCAGGAACTGCCACCATGGTGGCCTTTGCTCTGCTAATGGAGTGTTAGTTTACTTAGGCTTCAGGCACGAATTCAATGTATTTTTCAACATTCCCTGGTCTGAGGTGCCGTGTGGAAGTTAGTATGCATCCATCGCAAAAGATAAACTTAGATTTAAGCGCCTCTCCGAAATCAAAACGAAACTGACAACAATCGCGCAACTGGGGTCAGCCAGCACCGACCCCGCCAGGAGCCCGCCGAGCAACCCCCTGGACCGGAGGGTTCCTGGACTCCGGGCGGCCCCAGCCCGTGGTGTCAGCCGGTGGTGATCCATTAGCTGCCCCGTTCGGTCCACCACTTGGGTGGGTCACACAGATCCGCTCTTGTTCGGAAACGAGCTGTCCAAATCACCGCGTCGCGCTCGGAGTCGCGTGTTGACACAGAGGGTGACGCTGCGGGTGGTGGATTCCAGCAAACAGGTGCGAGCCCCGTCTGAGGAGGGGCTGCCATGGTAAACGAATGGGGCCTAGGGAAGTCAACTGTTCGGCGCTCACTACTTCCGCGTTCACCACATTCGCCCGTCGCGCGGCATCCACGCCTGTTGTGCTCACTGCTCAGTGGAAGTGTTCGGGAAGGCCAGTTCGGTGAGAAAGGTGAGAACATAGTGATTAGTGATGGCTCGTTACAGCAAGTTCCGTCGATCTCGGCGAACTAATTTCCACAAAGCCACGCTTCAACCACCGACATCAACCGAAGCTCAAGGTGGCAGAGGAGAGACCGGCGGTCAGCCCATGGAATCTGACATGTCGGGACCGTGCAGCGCTTCCGGGTCGGCGACGACGAGCGGCACTGAGGGCGGACGGTCAGAAGCTGCGGCGCCCAGTGCCCCAGTGGGACGGCGGATCGTCGATATCGGCGCCCTGACAAACGGAATCGATATCCTCATGGCGCATGCCAAGGATTGCTGGCAGCCAAGTTTTGTGGGCGAAAAGAGAAAAGGCCTGGAAGTATTCCTTTGTTACAAATGTCACAAATGTGGGGAGGATATACACGTAGGCAGGCAAGAAAACATCTCACTGAACAGCCAGGCAGTGTATGCAGCTGTTACTACAGGATCTGGATATTCGGCCATGGAAGCCCAGATGGCTATCATGGACATCCCATTCATGTCCTTCAAGCAGTTCTCCGAGCACCAGGAAGATGTTGGCGTGGTAAGTGGCCATTATCCGTACCAAATGTTAGTGTCACTTTAAATGTCTGAAGTCAGGCGAGTACCTTATCTACCTAAGCTGCATACCTAAGGTACTAATTAAGATTTTAGGGTCATGTCTAAGGTCAGGTCACCAGTGGTTATTGAAGCTAAAATTTTGCTTATTTCGACAATTATTGACAAATCAGCGCATAACTCATAAATGAATAGAGCTATAGAGTTGCAGAAAGCACATTTGATAGCCCTGTTAACCCTCTTTCCGAATAATTGCCTCAAATATTTGACCTTATGTCAACGAGTTAGCCTGCAAAGGACAAAAACTGTCAAAATAGACGGCTTTGCAGCAACGGTTTTCTGCAATAACTTTTGAACGCAGAAGTGCACCAGCTTATTTTTACCAGCATTGTGCTCTACTCGTCGAGAGGCGTCGAATTAACTCTAATTTGACGCCAAAAGGTCATTTTGATAGTTTGACCAAAGGTAAAGGTCATGTTGCATATTGTTCAATTTGTATCATCGATCTGAACGCACCTAAGGTGTTTTCATTGCTCTGGCATGCCGCTTTCAAACGTTATTAGCGAAAGACTGTTGGATATCTTTCATGACCTGACATGATATCAGGGACGTAAGGAGGGGTCACGGTTGCCATTTTCTGGTTCAGTGTGTCATTTTTACTTGTAAGTTGTTTAGGAGTGCTTAGAATGACATTCGTTCAAAAGATGCCCCTTTCAATTTTCTCCCATCGAATAATAATGGAGAGGGCGCAAAACTGACCGGACTTAAGGTCACCACAATCAAATTCAGAGATAAAGGTTTTATACGTGCCTACTATAGTTCGTTTTTTTTTTCTTAGCTTGACCCTCACTGTAAACGTCTCTTTGAACACAGCACGATAATTGCTAGCTTAGCTACTAAGAAAACTGGTTGGCGCACATTGATTTCACAGACGATCAACTTCGTCAACATTATTTCTACCTGGCTCCTATTTCTCGGACTCGAGCTCGTATTTGGCCTTATTTATGACCCCACAGGGAAAGAAGATTCACCAGGAATTATAACTGAAGTAATTAATAAATCGCACAGCGTTTAACATAGCGATACATTATCGGTGTTCAAAACTTATTGTGAAATACTATTCATACTTCCAAACAATGTGCGCTGAACATTTTTCTCAGTAATTCAGCTAGCAATTATCGTGCTGTGTTCAAAAAGCTGTTTACAATGAGGGGCAAACTTAGAGAAAAAAAACAACAACTATAGTGATGTCAGGTACGGAAAATCATGTATCCGTATCTTATCCACCTTACTGACTATAGTATTAACCCGCGCCGGGCCGGGGGGGGGGGTGTTTGAACACCCCCCTGCGAAAACGCGCCGCCGTTTTTGGTACACCTGTTCATGCATCTTTCCCACACATGTTGTGAAAATTTCAGACCCAGGGCTCTCAAGGTCAGGTCACCAGGTCAGGTCAAGTGACCTCACCTCAGAAAAAGTTTCAATCCTCGTCATAGCTACACCGACTGAACGATCGCCTTGAAACTTTCAGCGATTGATAAAAGTACCTACCTAACAGTATGTACAAAATGTATATCTCGGAAGTTTGATATCGGTGACCTAAGGTCAGGTCAATTTTGCGACCTCTCCATTATAAGTCAATGGGAGAAAATTGAAATGCACCTCTTTTGGACGAATGATGTTCAAAAACCTCACAAACATCGGTTCCTTGGTAAACATGACACACTGAATCGGAAAAATGCACCTGTGACCCCTCTGTGTGCCCCTGAGGTCATCTCAGGTCATGAACGGTCACCAGCAGTTTTTTTGCAATAACTTTTGATAAAGACGTGCTAGAGCGATGAAAACACGTCACCTGTATTCAGATCGACGATACGGGTCGACTGATATGCAACATGACCCTTTCTGGTCAGGTCATGACCTTGATCTGAGGTCAAATTTTCAAAATGACCTTTTAAGGTCAACAAATAGTTCATTCGACGCGTCTCGACGAGAGGAACACGATGCTGCCAAAAGTAATGACGTGACTCTCTCGAGTCAAAAGTTATTGGCGAAAAACCATTTTCGTGAAAACTGCTATTTTTACAGTTTTTGCCCTCTGGAGGCTAAACCGTTGACCTGAGGTCAAATCTGAGAGTATTATTCAGAAAGGTCTGTAAAAAGGCTATCGAATGCGCTTTTCCGCGGCGCTGTAACTCCATTGGTTCCCGAGTTAGCCGTTGGCAGTTTCCAAAATTGTTGAAATGGACTACATTTGACCTTTGATGACCTCTGGCGACCTGACCTTTGACCTGACCCAAAAAACTTTTTGGTATCCCGATGCCAAACCGAGACCAACTTGGTGTTTGGTATTTCAATGTGAATGTATTTGGTATTTTGTTCGTATTATGAACCCTCACTCAAGTATGAGGTTGAGAAATCGGTAAAAAGTTGGCACTTCCCTTATGTTTTCAAGTTGGTTCAGTTTCGGTATTTCCTTACAGTGTTGATTGGTATTTGTTTAGGTATCGATATTCCGATTATCTTTAATTGACATCACCAATATATCGTATAGGTATCATTTATATACTGCTAATTGCAATACCACATTCAAAATATTATTTGTTTCGATGCGACAGGTGATCGAGCAGAAGCTGTTGGAAGAAATGCTGAGCGCCGGACAGGAGGAGAAGCGCCTGGCGGTGGAGGCCGGTGACATCCTCCCTGATGGCACGCCGTGGATTACTGTTGTCGTGGACGGTAGCTGGGGCACTCGAAGCCACGGCCACAAGTACACGTCACATGGCGGTATGGCAGCTGTGATCGGTCTGCGCACCAAAAAGCTCCTGTTTTACGGTGTGCGTAATAAGTTCTGTAGTGTGTGTGCTCGGGCGGGCAGCAGCGCGGGGGCTCCAGCCCATAAGTGCTTCCGGAATTGGGTGGGGACGTCCACCGCGATGGAGTCAGACATCATCATTGAGGGCTTCAACCGTAGCGAAGAGATGCACGGGGTGCGATTCATCGAGTTCATAGGAGACGGCGACTCATCCGTATACAAGAACATTCTGTCCTACGTATCCTATGGACGAAACGTTCGAAAAGTAGAATGTGCAAACCATGTCACGAAATGCTTTACCTCCGCACTGTACGACATAGCCAAACAAAACAAGGAAGCCAAAAAAGTCTTGTCAAAAGTCAGGATCAGCCGCATGAAAATATGTGTCAGAAAAATGATAAAGCACAGAGCACAGGAACGGATGGAATCCAATGGTGATAAAGATCAAAGCGCCCGTACCTTGTCATCAGATGTAAAGAACGCCTCCTTTCATGTTTTAGGACACCACAACAAATGTTTACCATATTACTGCAATGTAGTCAGCGGCAGTGTGGCATGTCCTCCTCCTGAGACAGAGATTTCTACAGAACTGAAAATCTCGCTCCTCAAAGCGGCAGATGTTGTGTGCAACAAAAGTAGAAGTCTTGTCGTTTACGACGCTACCAGCAACCTAGAAAACTTGATGTCGCAGGTGGCATCAAGTTTTCTGTTGTCTACCAGCAACAGAAAACTTGATGTCGCAGGTGGCAAAAACCCTCGGCGGTAAACGGGTCAACCACTACCAGAAACGTGGGTACCATGACCGCTGTGCCGCAGCAGCTTTAGCCTTCCAGTCCGGCAGCCAGATGCACATCGATGTTTTCAAACAAAAATATCAAAAAAGTCCAACAAAGATCATGAAAAAATATGTCAATGTCGCTCAAAAGAAACGTCTCCAACGTCCCAACGATCCGGCCAAAAGGGTTAGCAGATACGTCCGGCGTTCTCTCGCGGGGACAGATGGGGACTACGGACCCAGCTGTGCAGCACCCGACTTAGAGGACCGCGATATTCAGCAATATCAGCTCAAAACAAAGGAGTTCTTAGACAACCTAGGAAGCACTGCTGTGGAGCGTGCCCAAATCGCTGAGAACACTGCTGATGACAAGGAAGAGTGGCACCGCGAGCGACGCAAACGCGTCACTGCGACAACCTTTCACCAAATAGCGAATATGCGAGACTCAACGTCAAACAAAAACATCATGAACAGACTTCTTTACGATACAACAAAAGATTTAGATACACCTGCTCTGCAGTATGGCCGCGTCAACGAGGAGCTAGCTATACAAGCATATGAAAAGCAAACAAACACTGAAGTGAAAAGACCAGTTGGGCTGGTAGTGCACCCGAAGCATCCATTTTTGGCCGCCACTCCTGATGGAATCGTTTCTGATGACATCATAGTAGAAGTGAAATGTCCCAAAAGTGCAGAGAACACTTCACTGGAAAGACTGGCTGCGTCTTCTAGTGGACTAACTAGTTTTTTTCTTGACGACAAACTTGAGCTAAAAAAGAGTCACCAATATTACACCCAAGTTCAGTGCCAGTTGGCTTGCACTGGTGCAAAGTTCTGTGACTTTTTTGTCTGGACACCAAACGAAACGTCATGTCAGCGCATAGCTGCTGACGAAACGTTCATCGCAAACAGACTGGAAAAAGTGAAGGCATTTTATGATGAGTGCATCGTGCCTGAAATGATTGATCCCCGCAAAGCACGACACATGCCGTTCCGTGAGCGGTCAAGGTATAGGGAGCCCAAGGGCAAAAACGTGAAGTAAAAAAAAACATACAGGATGAGGCGACTAGCCCTGTCACACATCTAACAAGCTGAAACTTTTTTGTCACTCATCCCATCATGGCAAAAAGGGTAAAAAAGGGAGCGAATCACAACAGTGAATGAGAATTCGATGTAACATATCATTGGCTCAGATGTCGACCACGCATCAGCTAAGGTAATTTCAGCAATCGTGTCAAAACTGAAGCATTCGCTCAGCATCATGCCGATCTCATTTTGTGCTCCTTGTTCTGTGTCAGTTTCGTGTCATGTACGAATGCAATATGTCAATGCATGCCATGGATGCAATATTATGTACCGGTTATACTGGTATGTTTTCATTGGCTTCGCCTCTGCACTGTGTCAGCAGAGCAGACGCCATACTGGGGATTTATGTGTGATGCATCGCTGATATATAACTACTGAGTACTGATGCACTGTTTTATCACTTTCCGTGAGTATTACAATACATAGTAGTACTGGTTCTTCCTTCTTGGTCTTGAGCTTCACCATGTGGTTGCTATATACCGATACCACATTATTTGCCGACGTGTTGTGATTGTGATCGTTATACAAATGCAGCTTCAGAGTAGGTACTATGCGATTGTAATATTACTGACGTATAGACAGACTGGCCACAATCAAATTCAAGCATGCCATCACAGCTCACATGCAATACCCATGTTTATTTAGGGTAGAAGGTAAAGTAGGTATAGGCGCCAAGGTTGGTAGTTGGTAACCTGTGTATCAATATACTACTTATATAACTAATCTCATTCAATCCACCCACCATCCGTATTTTCCTCCGACAACCCCGAGTTCGCTTCTGTTCCGGCAGAGTTTCACGGCCACCGGCACACGCGGGAACCCCAGACCGTAAATCACCGTGTGTTGACAGTCCCTCCCGCCGGTCGGCGCGACTCGCGGGTTTTATTACATGGGGGAACGGCAGGGACCGAGGCGGAGACCCATACGACATCTAGCGGCACTCCCTTGAACCAACAAAACCGTCAAAAAGTGGATATGAATCGGGCTTAATTCCAGTCACAGTTCAGATACTTCTGAAAAGTAAACTTCATTTTCGTGTGAAGAAATGTTCTGTGCACATTTCTATGTAGCCGGTTTTTTATTTTATGCCTCACACAAAAACTGAAAGATGAGCAAAGTTTTACTTTCATTTTTTGCAACATTGCAAAAAGAAAATGGAAAATCGGAGTACATAGAATTGTTGTCCACTTTGAGGAGATGTGGGTGCCATTCATTTTTTGCGCCTAGTTTGAATGACATTTAATGAATTTCGGCTCAAACTTTTCAGTTTTTCCACCTTTATCGTGCAATATCAACGTGAATATTGCACGGAATCAGACAACTTGTCCAAAGTAGGCTTTGTATACCCATGGAGCAGGTACATGCCAAATTTGAGGCTAATATCTCTATCGGTTTTCGAGATATTGCGGTTTTTCACCTCCCATTGACTTAACATTAACATCGCACCCTTAAACAAAGGCTCCTAAGGAGCTCCACTGAGCCCTAAAGAAGCTTTCAGAGGGCCCAAACTGGCCTCTGAAAGTTCCACTGGTGTCCATGTTCTCTGAGGGCCCATACAGGGATCTTCGAGCCTTCGAAGTTCGAACATTTCTGAGAACCTTAACTGGCCTCTGATAGTTCAGTCAAACTTTGGAGGCGACAGACCTTGCTAACCCCAAGCCGGCATCTGAGGGGTCACAGCTCACGTGTCCCTCTGAGGTCCGCAACACCATGTTTATTATGTCCCTACGTAGGGTCCTTAGGGATTCGACACAGACCCCGAGGGTTCACACTGTTATCCGAGGGCTCCAGGCTCACCCTGGGCCTAGTCTCTTAGCGCCCGCCGCCCACACTGGCTTCTGAGGGCCCCACCTTGGGCTCGGAAAGCCCTAAAGCACCACGTACACGTAAATATTTGAGGTGACCCACGCCGATCTCCGGGACCCTAAGCATGCTTCTGAGAGTCAGCACTGACCCTTAGTGGCCTGAAATGGCCTGGAAGTCCCAAACCTATCTCTAATGGATACCTTGCCGCTATGCCGTGCGTAACTTTTGGTTCCGTTTAACAGTTTTTGTGCACGTTTGCAGCGCTTCCCTTCACACGAAAAACGAGAAACTTTTGTTCACACTCGAGTGAACAAAACACTTCCTCTCACTAGAGCAAAGATGAATTAGGTACTTCCGATTCACACTTCCGACATTCACTCTCCGCCGAATACCCAACTTAGCTACGATCGGCGGCTGGGATAAGTCCTATGCATTTCACGTAAAACCTCTGCATGCATGCGTGAATGGAGGTTTTAGCAGGGTGATCCGATTAAATGGAGCATTTTTCACCTTTTTCTGGGTAATGATCATTAGAGTCGAGCGTCTGCACAGGGGCCCTCTGCAGTGCGTCGGCAATCGCAGCCACTATATACTAGTTATAATTCTACCAGTCGTTTTTGTCATGGAATTTCAAAATTTCGAATTTTTCTGTAAAAGTTACATGTCATAGCTAGAAGGAAACCTTTGTCACCATCGGATTCCTCGCACCATTGCGCGTCGAATGATATGTAAAACGAGTGAGTAAAGACTGGGGAAAGGCAAGTTTTAACACAAAAGTTGATTTTGCCCCCCCAACCGAAAATCTCTGGCGACGCCTATGATCGATCATAATCAGCGGTAAGAAGCGCAGTGCAAAGATGGAACCGTCCGGCGCCGGCACAGTCTACCATTCAGGCGGCAACGGCCGACGCCGGCCGCCGCGCCGCTCCGGCAAGATGTTTGACTTTACACCGCTATTACTAGAAAAGTTGTGGACCGATTTACCTATTGCTTGCACAGGAGGATTTGCAATTCAATTTTGGACAGATGCTGAAAGTTTGACGTTAATATAATAGTTATGGCGTGAGTTATTGGCGAAAAACAGGTGGGGTTGGCGAAATCCGCCCCTTCCATCGCCCGTGCTACGGTGCACTACTTGTTGCTATATCATCCAAAGTTATCGTTGGCCCACTCTAATTTTCTCAGCACGTATGCCTTACGTGTGGTGAAAGATAATGTCCAAATTTGATCAAAATCGAAGGGTACCCATTTTTCACAAATTTGATTTTAAGAAATTAATTCAAAATAAAATAAATTCTAAATCACCAAAAAATGTTAAAATTACCAAATTTAACTAGCATAACTCCTCGTGTTCACGTTTCCGTTTGTTTGAAATTAATAGCTTCAAAAATGTTGAAGCTATAGATCATTCAAGATTGCAATACACGTCCAATTCTGCTAAAAAAGCGGAAGTTTAGCGGCTTGTATCTCTGTAGCCCGAGGGCATATGACAAAATCCTTTGACCCTCAGAGGTTTCACCCAATAGCCAACAAGTATACCAAGTTTGAACAAAATCGCAGAGGTGGCCGATTTTGGCTGTCCCGGTTGACATGGAATGCCCCCTTCATGGTAATACTGGTGGTGCGGCCGACCTACGGATGAATGAATGAAAGAATGAATGAATGAAGGAATGAATTATGAATGAATGAATGAATGAATGAATGAATGAATGAATGAATGAATGTATGAATGATTCAATGAGTGAATGAGTGAATGATGGCAGGAGGGCCAAGCTAAGGATGAAAAATGAATGAATAAATAAATGAATGATTAATGATTGATTGAATAAAGTGTGTTGATTGGCAGGACAAGATGTGAAGGAAGGAATGAATGAAAACATGAAAGGAATGCATGACGGTGGTGAGGCCCAGCTATGTATATGCATGAAAAAATGAATGAATGAATGAATGAATGAATGAATGAATGCATGCATGAATGAATGAATGAATGAAGAAATGGTAAATAACATGAGTGAAAAAATGGTGAGAAATAAATGAAAACCAATCATGGTGGATTTGCTGAGCTGTGGATGAATGAATGAATAAATAAATACTCTAATGCTTTTGGTGGGCAGGCTGTAGATAAAGGAATGAGCGTGGATAAGTGGGAAAGATAATGATAAACAAGGGGTAAAGGGATGAATGAAGACTGGTTGTTGTATTGTAACTTGTAAGAGAAGGAATTGGTAAAACTAGTATGAATGAATGCAGCAATGAATGAGTAAATGAATGCACAAATAAATGAATGAAAAATGAACAGGGAAAGCCAGATAAAGAAAAAGTGAAAAGAGGGAGAGGGAAAAGTAAAAGAGAAAAGTTGCTTTCACAAGACACATGATAACAGCTGATGTTGGGCCTACTAGATCATGAGAAAAGGCTGTGAATGAATAAATGAATGCAGGAAAGTCAAACTCAGGTGGATTGCAAAAGTAAATGAAATATAAATTAATAAATGGAAAATGATTGAGTGAATATGGACATATGGCTGACAAGTAGGGCTTGGAGGACAATGATTGACACCATAGATAAGACTATGGACTGCTAAAAAAATATGGAAGGCTGAGGCATTAGGTGCATGAATGAATCAATGAATGAATTGGGAAAACAGGCCATTTGAGCAGAGAAAAGCTGGTATTGGACACCTAGTGTCCAGGGACCAGGAGAGTCACCTAAGTATAATCACCTGATCAAAGGAGCAATTAAATTCAAATGAATGCATTACATCAGAATGTGAGCTAGAGTATGCATCTTGTTATTATGGTAGAATTCAAGTTTTATTTCAAAAGGTGAATTGAACATGTGACTATCAATTAACAATATTTGCAACATTAAAAATAAACAATGATGGATGATACAATATTGTTGCTCAAACTTTGCATCCATGTTATTCATTTTCATTGCTGGTGAGAAATATTAAATGATGCAAACCAGGAGAGAACACTATAGTGAAGTTATGATTAATGGGAATAGTTCACTTTCCCAAAAGTTTTTTTTTTGCACTTGGATTTATGATCTGTTATGCTCCAAAGAAGGTCAGCAAAGAAAATCAAACATTTTTTGATTAAAGATGGCTGATGATATGTGGCTCAGGCTGCATTCTTCAGCAAGACACTCATTCCTCCGCAAGGCGCAAGGCATTCTTTTCTAAATGAGAAATGGAATATCTTCGTCTAGGATGCTCGTTGGGGAGTAAAAGCTTCTGTTTTGTGCAAGTCTTTTCAGCTCAAGCTACAAAACTGCTATTCCAGTTCAAAACCTCATGTTAAAACTTCAAATGGTTAAATTGCTGATTTACATCAATGACTAAAATCATGAGGTACACTTTTTAAAATGTTTATTCATCTCAGAGCAAACATGAAGCAGCATGGAGGCAGGCACAAACACAACAAAACATTAAATATTAATGCTTAAGTTTTAACTTGATTGAAAATTCAAAAAGAAAAAATATGCTAGACCACATTTTCAATCGAAGCTGAAGCAAAAGTAGGTAACAAATCTGGTATTAGCATCAACGAGTTATGTTTAAGTGTCCATAACTTACTTTTAATCAGCTCAAGCAGTGAAAGGCAGAAATGTGAAATATCTTTGACATAAATTCAAATAACGTTCGACGCCCACAAGTAATCACACGCCTGCAGCAGCCAGCACATTCGCCGGCAACAACAACACGAACGCGTCAGCACTTACACCAAATTGAAGGAACTTAGTACGAAATCCCTTCCTTCCTTTGCAACAAAACTGTTAAGAAATATTTTTATGTCTTGGAAATCTCGATACCTTTACAGAAACGTGTTAATTTTTGTCTTTAATCATTTCTGAAATTCCATAATATTTCTAAAATATTTTTAATCAAAACGAAAAGAAAGGAGAAAAAGCAGTTTTGCCCTAAAGGGGGGAAATTTTTAGCGATGAAAAAAATTATCAAATTAATCTAGGCAGTAATGGCGCAGCTGGGCCAATGAGATAAAGAGCAGTTTACAGCACATGACAACGGTGGCTGTCTTGAAGGAAAACTCCAACTTTTCCCGACTTTAATGAACGCAAATACTAAAAGAGTTTTGCAGATAACTCTGCGCGAATGAAGCAAAGTATCTAGATTCGATAAGATTGAAAATGACTGGTTGCCTGCCTGAAGGCCTAGAAAGCGACAGAACGAAGCTATCTCATATAGGATCGAACTTGGAGACTGAACGAAACTTTTCTGCAAATGGTGATATGGTAGCACTTTATATCCTCTATCTATGAAGTCTATGGACGACATGTGAACCGTTCCATTCAGTTGCTACATGCTACACATAAATTTTGTGGATTTTGCTTGGCCAGGGTATTATTTTTAATTTAAATCTATTTTCAAGGAAGCTTTCATTTCTGGAGTTCCCCTGTTTCTACCCCCGAGTTCTCTATATGCCGTAATTTCTGGTTGGGTTATAAGTTAAAAATATGTGCTAATTTAGAGCCTTTGATTGTTAATGGAAACTTGAACTGACATCAATATAAAGCTACTGTTGGGAATGCCTTCTTTGACTCCGCTTCACAAGAATATGAATAAATCAAACTACTCTAAGTTGTGCATCCATTTGTTATCTGGTGCAAGATTTTCACAAATCTTTAAAAGATTTTGGTGAATGCGACTCTTAACATCCATTGCTTACGTTTCAGGAGGACAAGACTTGGAGGTGGAACAGTCTGACAAGTCACTAATCACAAAGTTTAAGTCAGAAAATATGTCTGGTGCAGCTAAGGAACCTGATATGGAGCTGAAAAAGGTGTGTTACCTATGGGTCTGTTCCCGTCGCTCCTCCAAAAAATCTCGGATGAGGTTAGATGAGCTTGGAGGAGAGCCGTTTCAGAGGAGCCACGGGAACATTTTCGCGAGGAAATCAGCTGTTTGCGGGCTGTAACGGTTGACGATTTATGGCACGCAAACATAAATCAAGAGATAAGAATCGCTTTCTGATAAAATAACCATAGATTAATATCCAACATTACTATTTAAAGATATTCAATCGTCATCAATCACTAAAATCATTTCCACTTCCCTCAAATCTCATTTATAAACAATTCACCTTCATATTACGTGTGCCAAATGTGTCTCAGCAGAGCCTCCTCCAAAAAAACAACTTTCGTTTGGGATGAGGGAGGAGGCAAACAGTGGTGGTGAGATGTGAAATCAAGATGAGCTTGGAGGAGCTTGGAGGAGCGACGGGAACAAATTTTTGAAACGAGAGGAGGTTAGAGGAGCTTGGAGGAGGTTGGAAGAGCGACAGGAACAAACCCTATATGTGATTGTGTAAAGGTATTGTGCTGTCATCTGCTTATCATGATTTTGTCCATTATTCATGGATTCCAGAGCTCTGTTCGGTTGTTGTTTTTTAGCAGCATGCTGTTGGATTTCTCATATAAGGGATTTATTGCTGGTGCTTCTTGGCCTCTCATTGGTCAAATGAATACCTAGACCACATGAATTTGACCAAAGAGGAGCCAAGAAACAGCAGCATGCTCGCGGCCTGCTGATAAAAAACTACTACCAAACCGCACCCTGTATTAGATATTTAGATGTACTATTCTGGAAAAATCCACCTAGCTGCTATTTATTCATATTTCACTGCCAAACAAATTGCAGGTACTGAAGGGGAGCATGGCCTTCAACTGACCCCCAGGCAGTACAGGACCCTCCCCAACTAACACCTCCATCACCCCACTGCCCACGCTGGGCCAGTGCTCGGCGCCAGCCACACTGGGCGGGGCATGTTTGGTCACATACACACAATCTTTACTTGGCTCCTGATCCATGTTGCAGCACATGGTAAGCAGCATTTGAAAGAGCATAAACATTGCAACAAAAATACATTGTCCATTTTTTGGTCAGGTCAAAGTTCAAAGGTCAGGTCAGCATTGGTCATTAAAGGTAAAATTTTGCCTATTTAAACATTTTTTAACTTACCAGTGCAGTGTCCTACCAGGGTATATTGAGTCCAACCGCCCTGCCAAAAATTATATTTTTGCTTGGGTGTCAGAGGGGAAAATTGACCCAAATCGACAAAATTGGGACACTGCCAGCGCCTAACTCTGGAACCAATACCGTTACAGCGTCGCAGAAAAGCTCAGTCGATACCTAGCTGTTTAAACCCTCTTTCACCACTTTAGCCTCTAAAGAGCAAAAAGTCGTAAAATAGCCATTTTACAAAAACAGTGTTTTTGTCAATAACTTTTGACCAGGGTTGTGGAATTGATGAATTTTCGGCGACTCTGACTCCGACTCCAGCTTCTGAAAACCAACTCCGACTCTGGCTCCGGGCAACACTGTCGACTCCAATAGACTCCAGCTCCGACTCCGACACCGTAGGCTTTGCAGGGCTGCGGAGTCGTTGGATTTTCGGTGACTCCGACTCTGGCTCCGGTTTCAAAATCTACTCCGACTTCGACGCCGCTCAGAACTGTCGACTCTGACCGACTAGACTCGGCTCCGCAGCCCCGCTTTTGGCTTAAAAAAAAAAAAACGCACGGTACATTTATTTTGCCAGCATCTTGTTTCTGTCGTCGAAACGTGTTATCAAAAGTTATTGTAAAAAAGCGCTGGGGAATGGGGACCTTTTATGACCTGACATGACCTCATGGACGTACGGAGGGGTTACGGGTGCTTTTTCCGATTCAGTGTGTCAAGTTAAGGTGTAAACCGATGTTTGAGTGTTTAGAATGCGTTCGTCTAAAAGAGGAGCATTCCTATTTTCTCCGATTAATTTACAATGCAGCAAATTGATCTGACCTTAGGTCACCGTTTTGAAATTTCCGAGATATGCAGTTTGTTCATACTGCTACTTTAATCAATCGAAAGTTTCAAGGCAATCGTTCGGCCGGTGTAGCTATGACGAGCATTCAGACCTTTTTCTGAGATGAGGTCACTGGACGTGACCTGGTGACCTGACCTTGAATGACATGGGTCTGAAATTTTCACAAAATGTGCGGTTTAGATGCATTGTAAGTGTGTAAAAGTTGCGTATGATTTGCGTACGAATGTCGCTGTGTATTTATGTATCCATTTAAAATCATGTCTTTGTCAATCAATGGGCCACCCCGTTGGCGATTCTGCGAAATAAATAAATATATAAAATGAACAGGCGTGCCAAAACGCCGTTTTTTATATATCTGCCAAAAACATCGGGGGGGGGGGAGTGTCCGAACACCCCTTGACCTAGCACGGTCATTGGTGTCTCACGTGCATTTTTGTGTCGTGCTCCTCGGTGCAGGCGTTCCTGGAGCTCCAGCAGAAGATGCAGAACACCAACCAGTCAATACGGCTGTCTGACATGCAGATTGCTACGCTGAAGCGGCAGATCGATCATGCCACGCTCACCGATCGGGAGATTCAGGTGAGAAGGGAGTGAGAGAAAGGGATGGACTTAGTGAGAGGGTGAGAGGGGTATGAAACAATGTGAGGTTAGAATCACTCAAAGGATGTAATTTGGGTGACATTGCAGCTGACATGGGCCAATTTGCTGGGAGCTGAGAGTGGTGGACTAATTTAATAATGTCCTGTGGAAACCCGGTAAGAAATGGCAAGAGTTGCAATTTGCAAATGAGATGCTGCCACGTTAATAGATTTTGGCCGAAAAATTATGCAATTTTTCGCGTATTCTGTAAGTAACATGAGATGTCATAAAATTGCAAACCTCACAATGCCGAGAATCGAACCCGCGGTGCTCGGTTCTAACTGACAGCCGACTGTGCCCTCAGGCTATGCCCGACACCACGCGAGTGTATGACGGCGTGGGGAGGATGTTTGTCTTGAACAATGTGCCCACCGTGAGGAAAAACCTGGAGAAAAAACAGGCGACCAACAAGGAAAAAATCGCCAAACTAGAGGTGAGAAAGAATACCAAGGTGTATATTTGAAAAGTACATCTCGCCAGTGACATTTTTAACGTATCTAACGTCAACAAAATATTATAAGTCGCCGTGATGATAAAAATATTGAGGGTGAAAAGTTGCCATGATGATGAAAACGCTAAAATTTATTCTGAAGTGGTTGCTAATTTGCCTATAAAGTTTAAAAGCCTCATGTGTCTGATGTGAAATTTACAATCCGTGCATCCAGTCTTTGATTTGTTTCGGTAAAACCACGCGTTTATGCTCAACTTGTGTGGTATTTCAACTGACCACAATTCATTCTATATCGTTACAGGCCAACAAGCAATACTTGGAAAAGAGCCTGAAGGAATCAGAGAACAACCTCCGCGAACTGATAAGGACCAAGCAGCGTATTGCGGTCAGTTAGGGCTATCATACAACCGGGGACAGAGCGGGAGTGAGAGAGGGAGAGTGACGGAGCAGGGAGAGAGTGTATCAAGAGGGGAGAGGGAGAGAGTAACGGAGGAGTGACGGAGTAGATGGGTTTGGCACAGGGGAAAGGGAAACTCTTCACACTTTGCTCCTTGCCTGTGTATAATGATGGTGGGATGCATTGGATGATCCTCGGCTGACACTTACCGTTCTGTCGGTATGACGTCATTGTCTGATATGACGTCATCGGCTGATGAGGTGACATCACTGGTTGGTGGGATGACGTCATCGGCCTGTGAGTGTGTTTGGAAGGGTGTGAATGCGTACTAAGCTGTGTGCTATTCCGTGCTCGTTTGAGAGGAGATGGTTCATAATGTTCGGACTTTGGCGTAGAGAAGAGAAAATTACACGCCTAGAGTGGTGGGGAAGGTTTTCATTATCACTCGCCAGTTGCGTGATAACACGTTGGTTATTTGCCTAATGTGCTGCGGTTTCTTTTTTCGATAAGAAAGTCCAGTGTTCACTGTTTCACTGACAAGTCTACGAGATGAGAAATGTCTCGTGATTTTGACTGCTACTTGGGTCTTTTCGCGAATTGTTTCCCTAGGTTTTATATTTTTCAGGTTTTCACCGTCTAATTTGTGTTGCATCAATCTGTATCGTTTTGTTGTTGGCACCTCGTGTTACCAGTTTTCCGCTGCGAATTTGCTAGAGTTGCTCCTCGAGTGTTATAAGTAACAGGTAACGTCGTCAGGCCTGACAATAACAATCCTCAAAATGGTTTTACTCATATGTTCCTAACTCTTGTGTAAGCCAGAAACGTCCGCTAAATAAATCTGCAAGTAGTAAGTTTTGTTTTTGGAGACCTGTCGTCAAAAAGAGCTCAATCTAAGCAGTCGATAGTTTTTTTGTTTTGTTTTTTTTTAATCGGGAGACACTAACGGAGCGGAACAGGTGCCTATATTCTGGCAGATAATGGCGTATACTTACAACCAGGGCTGCGGAGTCGGAGTCAGAGTTGGAGTCGGTCGGAGTCGACAGTTGTGACCGGAGTCGGAGTCGGAGTCGGAGTCGATTTTAGAAACCCGAGCCGGAGTCGGAGTCGGAGTCACCGAAAATATGTCGACTCCGCAGCCCTGCTAGGTCTGCGGAGTCGGAGTCGGTCGGAGTCGACAATTCTGCCCGGAGTCGGAGTCGGAGTCGGAGCTGGTTTTTGAAAGCCGGAGTCGGGAGTCGGCGAAAATCCATCGACTCCGCAGCCCTGCTTACAACAAATCAATTTTCAATAGAATAGCGCATCATTTCATAAGTTGAGCGGTCAACTTCACATTCAGTTCACTCGACACTATTTACTTATTGGCAGTTGACGGTTGACGAAATGTTCTGTGAGAATCTGTATGTGTCTGATCAATGTGCCCACGGTGTGTTTCGGTACGTAATATCCGATACTGTTCACCAATGCTCGTGATACGATGGTCGCCACAGACAAAGGGTAAAAAGGTAAAAAAGTTTATTATTAAAACATCAGGACAGATTTGTCAGTTCAGTACGATCGAGTGACTAGCTAGAGTCCTAGACTATATCTTGGCTATAACTATCATAACCTTCTCGTAAGTTATAAAATCGGACAGTTATTTCTACGCAATTATGCGAAGCTCAAAGCCTCGAAGCTACTCTTAACATTACGTATTACACGGCAGTATCCACAATTTCCACGTTTATCGTACAGTACGGGTGACACTAGCACCACCTACAACTCCGCTCGCTATGCTGCTGCCATCTACCAGCTGGGTCGTAGCCCATCCTTCAGCGCTTCCTGAATCACTTTCGGTACCGTCCACGGCCTAATAAAACCACCCCTCCCCGGTCTTCCATGTCCCTTCTGATGTGACCCGTACCCTTCATCTGCGTACTCTTCTCCGTGGTAGGGGTACGGACGGCGGTACGGGGGTACCTCGGGGTACCTCTGGCGGTGCTCCGGGTACCCGGGACGACTGTGGTACCGAGGAGGGTACTGGTACCGGTGGGGGCTAAGAATGTTGCTGTTGAACTCGTCTGTGAAAAAGATGGGGAAGGGGTGGTTAGACGCATGTCTCCAGGACAGCTGTAATGTAATCATTGTAAGCTGTCAGATTGGCTGTGGTTGTCGGGGATGACTGAGTACATTGAATGCAATATATTCACAAAATCCAACAACGTAAATACAGGGCGCATTTTTCGTAATTGTAGCAGGGCACTTTGGTTTTACGGGGCTCATCATTATCCCTCAAAGTCACAATGTAGTGTGTAAGGTAGTGCTGAGTTTAAACGTTTTTGCTCCTCCAACTGCCACAACCAATCCCATGGCTTCCAGCACCCCACGCCTTATTCTGTGTTCTGAACCACATCAACCCACTTCAATAACGTTTAAAATCACTGAAAATCGCTTCGAGCCTTTCAGTATTGTCGTTTACCTCTTACACCTAACCCTAAACTTTCCATCCACCATAACAACCCCAAATAGCTCGACCTTCATGAACCCCGCTCATCCATAACGACTTCCCCCCCCCCTGGCCCCTCCTACAACCTTTCAACCCCCAAACACACCCTGAAGTCTCACCTTCAAATCCATCGTCGAAGAATGTATCGCCCACACCAGTCAGGCCGAACGGCCGATCTCTGCCTGCCGCGGTCTCTTCAGACGGGCGATAACTGGGGCGATATGTGGTCGGGCGATATCGCTCCTCCTTATTTGGCCGAGTGGAGGGGCTAGGAGATGGTTTAGCACGCGATGAGGTTGGGGAATAGCCTTTAGCGGTTGCAGGACGACTTGACGTGGGCTCTTCTGCGAGGATTTCGCAGAGTTTTCAGTAGAATTTTCAGTCGGTGATTCGGTAGAAGTTTCAGTAGAAGTTTCGGTGTAGGTTTCAGCAGGTTCCGAGGTAGTTGGAGCATATGTTGAAGATATAGGTGAAGAAGTAGGTTCAGTGTAGGTTGGTAGTAGGTTCAGTAGCTTCAGTTGTATACGTGACCTCATGCGTGACTGTAGTTGTCTCGTACATAGCAGCGGCAGCAGCAGCAGCGTAGTAGTCTCTTGGACATAAACCGGCTTTCAGTCGTCACATCAGAAGCGACCGTTGGGACCGGCCCATAAGTAGTCGTCATCGTTTCTTGGGTAGTGGGTGGGGCGTATGTAGGTGCTGAAGTTTCGGGCTCTGTAGGAGCTGTGGTGGGTTGAGGCCTATAGGTTGTGGGTTGTGGGTTGTAAGTTGGGGTTGCGTATTGTAGGTTGTAGGTTGTGGATTGTAAGTTGGAGGTTGCGTGTTGTAGGTTGCGGGTTGGGGGTCGTAAGTTGGAGG